CGATCTCGAATTGAGATTCGTTGTGACTGTCTGCAGATAGTTAGACAAAGGTATATTTGTGTGGGGGATGCGATAGACTTACCTCCACGTGGTGCACCCAGGGCAATGTATACTCATATGGCAAAAAAGTCTATTAATCGGCAGTTGACTTCTGACTTCAACCAACCATGACACCAACGTATGTCATATTCGACCACTTTCACAGTACTCATCTCAATTACCTTTTTCTTTACCTTTGAGTCTGACTCTTTTACACCTGTGGATAACTCTTCCCCCCCCCCCCGGGCTTGTTTGTAGCATTGATGTTTCTCAACTCTGTGAAGCCTGAAGTCAACTATAAAGGGATGATGATGACTATCATAAACCCGGGATAAGTATTCGTGTGATAACCGCTACACGATCAGCTTTTACCCTCCTGCATATTTCTCCCATAATGAAAATGTAGTCATATTGAAATAAAAGATCTTTCATTAAAACCAGATCAACCAATTTACTCTCTTTATCTAGTTGTCTATGTCTTTTTATTCTTCCCACTCAAAGTAAAGGATACTCGTCCAATGGATTGAAATTAAATAAGCCTTGACTAAACTTAAACAATCTCTAAATGCAATCAAAATGCTGTAGTTTAAGAATGTTTCCGAAATTCAAAAACAGGAAAAATAACGTGTAACATTTAATTGGTTTATTGTTTGTGTTGGTAGACTACTCGCAAGATTAGCCAATAATACTATCAATGATATTCTGCGTTGCATAAGCACACTTGCTGATTTGCTGAAAGGCTTCTGCACCCACGTTCACACATTGATGAAAGTTCCATGGGAATGAGACAGTGTTTGCACTCCTCAGTATCAGATATTCTTTGAGAGTGAATAAAGGTGCGTTCGTGTTAAATAGGAATTCTATTTGGTTGCTGATTCTTAAATTAGATCTCCCTTGGTACTCATGGTGTCCCTTTGACCTTAGGACTTACTCGGCTGGAAGTACTTCAAGAGATTATGTTGGCTGAAATTTCTAGTGGTGCTCTAATGCCCGCGTTTCAAAATGGCTTTCAGTTAAGGATTAATAAGTTTGAATCTCAAATAGCACTTTTCCTAATTCATGGTGCTATAGTCATTAGGGGTAGCCAATTTGACGTTGATGATCCTTGACACTGGCATGCGTAACCCCTAGTTATGAAGAGATTGGCTTAATCCTTGGAAAGCTACTTCGCAATCCAATGAGGCGTAAATGCCAATACAAGGCCTGAATGCTAACAATACCTAAAACGATGACGATGCTAGCGAAGTTATATCATTTCTGTTGGTTTTAAAGCTGGATCAGATGAGAGCTAATGAAGACTTGATGTTACAAAGCCCAAATTTATGCTCCCGAAAGGGATTATAGGAATGGTAACTGTTTGTCATACCTCACGTTCAGCCATTTAGGCAATATTGACTAAAATGTCGTTATCTTCCATGCCCAATCATCACCAAAATTTGGGTGGTATGGCAAGGAGGTAAGTGAGTTTTGTGTTTCAGGAGGGAGCACAGAGCACAAATTTCTTGAAAGGCGAACTAATCGGACTCCGCTATCCCTCATTTCATTATTAATTAAATCAAAACTTGGCTAGTTGCGTGATCCATTGTGATGTTACGATAATCCCACTTCACAACAGCCTCTGTAGAGAATTCATTTTCCACTAGGGATTGCAGTGTTAATTAAGATTAAGTAATGCTAACCGTGGGAATAAATTCAAAAGTGGGGAGAAATTACTGTTGTTTCCTCTGTTTATTTGCCCATTTTAATTGGTAGATACTTTATCCCATGCCTCTACTTAAGGCTCACATTGACTCGCTTATCGATTTTTACCAGTTTTCCACCTTTGACCTCTAAGCCCTATGCCAACTTCCCCATTTTATAACGTTTAGGTAATCCTCAACCCTAATCAGCCGCTCGATCGCTTCTTTTTCGACAGTCCCTTCTATCAATGAAAAAAAGAAAATAAAGAACCCTTCAAGGTTGTATTAAAGAATTCTTAGCCTATTCTTAGTAATCAAAATTTTGGTAGCGTATTTGAAATTGAATTAAGAGGGCAAGTAAAAAATGCATTTTGGCATACAATCGGTGAACTAAATTTCCCACCACCGTGGGAGTTATATAGTTGAAGTATACTAGAAAATGCGAATCCTTATCTTTACCAAAGTCATGTATTAGCCGTTAAAGAAAAAAAATCATTAAAAGCCAAACCGAACTACATTGGTCGGACGGACAAGGAGAAAAGTTATTTGTACAAGAGGGACAGAATCATAGGAACTGGGAGATCCTGTTGGTAGGAGAACAACTAAATGGATTCATCAGGAGGGATCTTCACGGACTGTTGTTGTTGAAATGAGGAGGGAGCTGTCTCAACATCACTTGGGCAATAAACAGACACCTTGGCCAACTTCCGAACGGCGGGACTTGGACTCAGAGCCACAGGGATGAGAGAGGGTGTGGAGTTGTAACTGGTCGTTGGTGTTGAGGTGAGAAGGCCAACTACTGAATTACTTTCATCTTGTTCCTCGGGTAATGATACGTTGACCTCCACAGGAGCCATTATTGTCACTCCTTGATGTTGAATAGCTGGTGTAATTAATATCTAAATCAATGGAAATAAGAAAAGACAATCAGTGTTGCTACCTCACAGGCATTAAGTAACAACAGCTGCTCTTGGAAGATAGAAAGTACAAATAACTATATATATCGAGTTGGTCTTAAAAGTCATCTCAAATTCCCAATTAGTTAGCAAAAGCTCCCTGGTATCACAGGCCTAAATACGTTCAAGAATCTGGAAAACATTGCATGATTACCGGAAGTTTGAGCAGTATTAGCACGTGATGTATTGAACTATCGGCATTAAAAACAAGGTAGAAAGAATACGCCCTATGATCTTGCTTTCCCTCTACACTGACTCTTTAAAATCTTCACCCCATTCAAATGATTTCATATGATTAAAAATAGTCTTTGTAAAAAATCTAAGTATGTAAATTGATTCGTAAGCATAGGATAAGGAGAGTTTAACAATATCTTAATTTGAGGCAGGTATACCACTAGTGTGTATTGGTGAATCACTTTATTCCTTCGAAGGCAATTAAGTTGGTTATGCAGGCAATTTCGGGAAACATCTGGAAATGACCGAATTCGGACTGGACAATTGTCTAGAGCTTGGAATTGCTATATGGGTGGTATCCAACCTACTCCTCACACCTGTGTGTAATATTCATTTCCATGGACCTCAGCCTCCATTATTACATTCCCTTCTCATTCCTACCCTGTGATAATGGAGTTCATTCAGGTGAAGAGGATACACGATTGGTTATTTCATCTTCTCTGAGAATGCTAGACGAGTATTTCACTACGGTGTGAACGTAATTGAGATTATCATTTAAGGTAAACGCTCTCTATATGATGACAATTTTACCCTCAACCGCTAGCAAGATGAACATTCTACAGCAAAAAATGACTCCGAAGTCTAAGGAAAAGCACAAATCAAATCGCAAAGAGAGGATGGCACGATGAGAAATATTACTGCTGATTAAAGAAGTTCCATTCAATTCAAGCCCCCAATGTGAACATAATGTGGATAAAATTGGGGGGATCTTGAGACTTAATACTTACTGGTTGGTGATTGGAAGGTGTAGATTCGATATCAATATTGCTGCTGGTGCTGGCATTAGTCCTCGTCATGGAAACGGTGGGATAGGAGGAGAGGGACTGTGCTGGATGGGATTGAGGGAGGATGGTGGTAGAAGTGGATGGAGAGGGGGGTGAATACTTGACAATGTAGGCCGATTCGGGGTGTTGACGTGAATGAGCATTCAAATTGCTGCTCGTTGCAAAAGCCCTACCACACACTGAGCACTGGTACTGTTTGATTCCCAAGTGCACCGTCTAAGTAGAAGAGGAGAGAGAGAGAGAAAGGAGCCAGTATTTTAATTATTCCAAATTACATTGAGTCACACCAAATTTATCGGTCCTAGCCACATCAACCTGTTGTGAAAGGATTCAAGAAAGTCGAGTAGCTCCGAATAAAGTGGATATGATCTCCGCCATGAATCTGGGAGTCATATACTGGAGATTGAACGTTACGAAATCACAATTTGATTTCTCTTTTTTCATACCTCATTGAACTTGACAATTATTCCCATGGGAAATAATAAAATATTGGTACTTTGATTAACTGACGCCAATTATTGCACTTTGAATGCTTCTGAGACCATTAAGGAAAGCATTTTCCCACCACCGCACTGGGTGGTGAAAGAAGCACAAAGCCACAAAGTTGACAAATTTGAATTATACAACTACCTTCATCGGAAAGATTTAACCATTATACGCTGTGTTTAATTGGCACAAGCTGATGGATATCTAGCTCATGACTATCAGCTTAGCAGATATGTAGGGTGATCACTACACCAGCAGTAATGATTGAAGATATCGAACTGTGATGGTAACTGAGGTACTAAAATAATTCCAGATATAGAAAGTACAAATAAGAAGAGTAACAATTGATCATATGAACACATAGTAAGGCGTATAGGTGTAAAACAATAATCACAAACGCATAAATTGGATCAAAATTAATAATGAACACCAAGGATGACAATAATTATTGAATGAAAACCACAAATTCGAGGTTTACCTCACTAACTAAAGAATAACGTTGAAGTACACAAGTCGTTCTCTTAACAACGTGGAAAATTTACGATGCAAAGATGGCAGGCAACAACAGGCTGTTAGTCACAAAAGCATTGACCACCTACGAAGTAAAGCTAAAAAAACTGCATCTTTAGGAATAGGATCAATTAAGCCACATAAACAAGGAATTCTAGTTCGTGTCCAGAAACGATGTTGTAGACAAATCCTTCCCCCATTTATGGTCAATATATTTTATTTCGTCGCTAGGACTGACAATTGGCTAGCTCCAAAGTAGAAGAGAAGTAAGCTGTGGACGCTGTCTGCTGCTCCCCTTTCATCAGGACTTGAATGCCTGCAAGGCTACTACTAGAACACCCATTGGGATCAAAACACGGAAGTTTACAGTCTACAGGCGGCAATTGTGGTCTGATCGATTTAAATTGTGCAATAGAAATTTAATTGCTGAAGCAAATCTGAACAACCCACACATTTTGATTGAGTATTCATTAACTATCACAGAGGTGGATAGTTTGCGGCAAAGTTATTAAAGAGAAACAGTGGTTGACACCGAATCAAACACTCATTTCATCTCCTAAGCCCAGGTTCACCCTTCACACATTTGATGGGGTGTACGCATAATAAACAATGGCGAATTGCTAAAACCAGATAAAACAGTTACGGCAGTCGGGATGACTAAGACAGAAAGTAAAAAGTGAACACCCAAATTTTGTTTAACAGAAAAGGAATACCTCTTCAGCAATGACAGCAACCAAAATAAGAATAACTTCCCAAAATTGCAGGAATAAAATTGGGAAGTACTACCATATTCTTCATTCGTCGTCAAACCTCATCCCATACTATTATCACCTTTTCAGATAAGAGGAACATGCATTAAGAGGAATAAGGCTATTTCGATATGCGACTGAAGTTTCAACCCACAACAATTACTTCGTTATCGAAAAGGGGATCGAAAAAATTACTAGAATAATGATATTGTTCGAACAAATAATATTTATCTAAAATGGCAAGCGTTTTGATGGTTATCATTAGCCCTTAAGTTGACTTCAGGGTTCACAGAGGGGAAGGAACATCTAAGTGAAAAAAAAGTCGAGACGGGGTGGGGGGGGGGGAACAGAAGAGTATTTCGAAGACGAAGGTAAAAAAACGGTGAGGTGAGTACTGAGGAAGTAGTCGAATATGACATACAGTGGGGTGATGGTAGTTTGAAGTCAGAAGCCAACTGCCGGTTAATAGACTTTGCTGTATGAGTATACGTTGCCCAGGCTGCACCACGTGGAGGTAAGTCTACCGTACACCCCCGAATAAATAATGGGCTAATCCTTATTGGTACCCATAACACTTAAACTTGTAATTTGAGTGACTCCTTCGGGAAACTTACACTCACTGGCTACTTTAATCACTGGGTCTTGAGCCTGTAGTCTTCGATAAGATGGGGGCACGTTAATGTCATGCCTCTGGTGTAGCTCCAAATTTGTTCCCATTCAAGTAATCACTTTAGAAGCATCAAGCGAGGATAAAAGATGATTAAGGAGGGCAATTATAACAATAATCAGGAATCGAACACCAACTGCTTAATATATATATGGGAAAAATTATCACCAATGCGTTGGAAGCCTAAAGACCTCTTAAATAGTGGTTTACAACAATAATTATTTAAACAATTTAAGACGCATTAAATACGTGTACAAACTACCAAGCCTCTTAAGATAAGTGTTTAACAACACTTACTTTGGGGAAACCCTTGATAAATCACGTGTCATCGCCATTATTTAGTCTTAATGCAGAGAAGAAAGCCACCACGTTCATCTTTAAATTCTTGGTAGAGGAACATCATCATGCAGCCTTCAAAGGAAGAAACTCGAATTATGCCACAGTGTTGGTTGGTCACTCTCTCGGACCCCCAACAACCCCCCCCCCCCAATCGATATGAACCTATACATATATCGAACTGCGGCCTCTGTGACCCGGCAGATCACTTTAACCACTCTATAGTCCAAACACAGGGGTGTGCGATAGACTTACCTTCACGTGGTGCACCCTGGGCAACGTATACTCATACGACAAAAAAGTCAATTAACTAGTAGTTGACATCTGACTTCAAACTTCCATAACCCCACTGTATGTCATATTCGACCCATTTCACAGTACTCATCTTACCTTTTCTCTGCTCTTTTGTCTGTCTCTGTCACATCTGTGAACCACCATTCTGTCCCCCCCCCCCTCTCGACTTTTTGTCACTTTGATGTTCCCCCTCCTCCCTGTGAAGCCTGAAGTCAGCTAAATGGCTAATGATAACTATCAAAACGCCTGCCATTTGAAATAAATAAATAAATAGTCCACACACCGGCTGTTAAGTATGCTATTTGTGTTTCTCAATCAAAAATTTTCCAGTCAGCATCCATGCGAATAGACAAGATTATCAAAGAGTCACCATCAACCAATCAATTAATAAACTCAAAACATGGCAAACATCAGCGCGCTCACTAATGAAAACAACAAGACTTCAAGTCAAAACAAAATTGAGGAATAATTGTTGCAGCATTTTATTTAAACTAACTCCACGCAGCAAGAAAAAAAACTTAGCAGCCGCTACAGAAATGAAGCCATTCAAGCAACCCCCTCACCTCTCTCGTGCCTGGCTTCATGTCATTAACGGGGTCGCAAAATATGGTAATGTATATGTACTTCACAGCCACAGTTAGACGCGATTCGGCTTAAATATTACCCCCCCCCCCCCCCCCCCCCCCACTGTAGAGGTGGTAGTGGGGTAAGATAAGTGATAGAATCAGGAAATTTTATTTCCCTTTCGATGAAAATTTTGATTGAATTTTTAAAAATTGGAAAGCGGAGGTTAAGATGGGGTGACAAACACAAGGTGGCGCCAGCAACTGGACTTTCCAAAACCCCCTTAAAGCTTAATTTTTCTAACTTTTGCACCGCCATGTACCTACGATGCTATATTTACTCCCGAAGGAAAGAAAAAGCCTCATTTCTACTTTGCGATGGAGGAGAAGAAAACAGGGCAAAGGGGAAACAAGATACATGGAAAGGCTTCTACAACAAGACATTTACAAAAGAGAGATTTCGTTCAGTAAAGTAAGCAATCCGAGGCCGAATATATGCGATTTCAGTCTAAACACAAGGTGTTAGGGAGAGGTAAAAAATTTCCTTAATATAATTACCTGAGATTGACTATCAAGCACCATCTCACAGCTGATTTTAATAATTTCGCATGGCCGACTCAATTAGAAACTACGCTTTCTTATGCTACAAGGCATGAGTTAATACGTTTCTTCTTCATACCATGAGACGGATTTCGCATTGTAGGATATGACCTTGTGCATAACATTTGTTGATTTAAAGTAAAAAAAATAAATAGACGCAAAAAAGCGAAAAGGACGTAATTTAATAAGATTAATACTAGAAAAGTTTCTTAATTGAAATCAGTCCTATTAAAATCCTCATCAGTTATTGGAGAAAGCAAATGGAAATTCAAACTACTACTGTAGGAAAAGCTCCAGTCATAATATATAGGTCTTAAGATATTGATTTTCTGATTTTGCTGAAAAAATGTGGTTATGATATTTACATAAGCAAAGGATATAACTCGTAGCTACCAAGTTAGTTTAGAGATAGGTAGATGGCTACGTTTACTTTAAGAGAGAATCCAAGTCAAAATAACAGTAAAAAACAGAAACGTTATTGAAAGGAAACGTCTCCAAAACCTTATCTTGTTTTGAGAAACAGCTTCCTAAAAAGCTTCTTTAATGAGAAACTAGCATCCTACCAGCTTGTGAATAGCCAAGCAGTTAATTAAATTTGCACCGATAATAATCAGATCTATGACCTCTAAACTGCTAAATGCACATATCAACCGTTGTATCATCGACATGCATATAAGGATAGAAATCATACTGATTTTATAGTCGATACTCACTCTATGATGAACACGAAGATTACTGGATGTGGAGAACTGCCTATCACACAGGGGACAAGGATGCAGCCTTAAACCCCAATGGACTCTTAAATGTGTAGTCAGTGCATTTGAGGTGACAAATCTCCTATCACAGATATTGCAGCGAAACGGCCGATCTCCTGAGTGTATTCGCATATGGGTCTAAAGAATCAAACAATGTAAGTAAATGAAACTGTTACAAGTATCTCGAACTAATTTACCACCGTACCTTTAGATTACTGGAAGAGCTGAAATCTGCCCCACATACAAGGCACTTATAAGGTCGTTCATTTGTGTGAGTTCGTTCGTGCGTGAGGATATTGCACATCGTAGCAGAGGTTTTGTCACAGTAACGGCACTTGAAAGGCTTCTCTCCTAAATGTAACCGCATGTGTTGCTTGAGACTAGCGGGATTGGCGAGGACTCGAGTGCACACGGAACATTGATTGCGTTTTAATACGCCGTCATTGCTATTGTTAACAGATTGAACCTCCTGCAAACTTGGGCTTCGCTGTCGTCGATTGTCGTTTGCGCCACTATTACTATTATGACCTCGACAATGGGTAGTGATAAAGCTATTAAGGCTGGATTCCTGACCGTAGAATTCTTGTTTAGTGCGATCTGTATCATATCGACTACGTGGAATAGTCTGAAATGGGGCCAAGTGACTGAAAGAAAAATACCAATACTACTTACTTATTATAAGTAGAAGATCTAGGTTAAAATAAAGTTACGACGAATTACCCGGGTAAGGTATTAAGAAAGACATGCTTAGGCATTGGAGTGATATTGCCAAGACTAACATCATCATCAAGCGAAAAGTTAGCGGTTTCAGACCTAGATTCGTCTGTGGCCTCCATCTAACTACGAAAATGAGATTCTTTCGATAAAAATCAGCAGGAATAAGGAAATGTCCTAAAAAGAGGACCAAATAAGAATGTAAGGCAAATATGAAAAGCAATTAATACATTACAAATTGCCTAAATTGACTAAATCCCCAGTCAACACCAAGCTCCATAGGTATGGAATATACAGTGAAAAAGTATGAGTAAAAAAAGCCTCCTTCGGAAAGATAATATTAAAACTTCAGGCTGTACCAAAAGGCCGCAACTAAAGACCTAAGGAACATGACAAGAGAGAGCTTCTCAACAATAACGAGATTGAAAATTGACAAACCATTTTGCGGATATTTTATTGTGAGATGGCTTAAGAAAAGATTAAATTCAAATCAGCAGCAAGTTTTGGAGGAAGAGAGATGAGTCATGAAGACAACGCGAAATACGCAGTAGGAACAAGATGAATAATTACGATGAACGTTAAATGAAAACAGAAACACAGGAATTATAAAGTCTTACAAGAATAACAGCTCGATGACGTAGAGACATTCATTATCTGGCTCTTCTTACTGTCAGATTTTTCCACAATTATGAATTTTAAGCACAATAAATATCAAAGTCACTTAAATGAATAATCCTGCCAGAAGACATTATTAAACAGACATGATGAATCTTAAATTCTCCAGATTCGAGGAACTCTCAAGATCGCTCCTCTACAACATGCAGAAAACGCTGTAAGATTAAGATTTTTAATAATTTATGAAAAACACGTTTCAAAAAGAGTAAGCAACTAAAAATTCCACTCGTAAGGGTACAAACAAATATTAAATTCATTAACCACTTTTAACAAAAGTTGAAAATTTCCAGGGAAAAGAAAAAGCAATATCATTAAATGAGAAAGGCGATTAGTGAGGCTAATGACTATTGGCAGGATTAATTAATACTAATACTGACTGCTAAAGCCTTTTATACGAGATATTTCAATAACTAGAGCATTGCCATATAATAAAATAAAAAGAATCACAACAATGACAATTAAGAATACGACTCCTAATTTGGATTACAAAATATATATCATATTCTTATAATTTCAATCCAACAAAACTTAAGACAGTAATCTCAACATACATACAGGGCAACTTGCAAAGTATAAAGCA